TAACGAATGTTTTTTAGTAGTGTTTAATAAAATGTAAATTGTTTGATAAAATGACCAACTGAATTTTCATCTTGGCAAAGATATAAAGAATAAAAAATAGTAATAAAATGCAAATTTAATTAAAAAAAGCAATTTATAAGAATAAATTTAGTTCATAGTTATGTGCTGATGAATATTTCTATTCCAGATCTAGGTTGTATACAGTACGTTCTTTTAAAAAAATGTGCCCATAAAATTAGTATTTTGCATTGTTTGAATTTGAAATATGCTATTATTTCGTAAAATGTTCTTAAAATTGAAAACATGACATTGGATCTGTATGCTCCCTAGCAGTCTCATTTACCTCACTTAAGGGGTAAAACGGGATAGATTAGAATTTTAGAAAAATAGCTTGAAAATATATTTCTACAATTAAGAGTTAACTGGGAATTTCATTGAACACAGTACTATAGTTGCTTGTTTGATACGTGTTATAAGTTGTGATGTAGTTCATACAGTACAATTAGTCAAAGGGGCCGTTCAAGTATTACGTAAGCACTATAGGGGGGCGGGGGTTTGTAATTTGCTTATGTTAGGTAAGAGCTTTGCTTACTTTTGCTGACAAGGGGGATGGGGGGTAAATAATTGTAATAAATCTGCTTACGTAATACTCGAACGATCCCAAAGTCAAATTGGAGCTTTTTGCAATGCCAATAGTTTTAGCATATATATGTTGCAGCAATACCTACAAAGGACGATTTCAACTTGATATGAGAGTTAAGATCAATAACATCAAGTGGGAATTTATATCATACTGTTTGATATCAAGCTGGCCGAGGTTGGCATCAAACGTAGCTGCGGGTTTGTGCCCACGTTTTAACCCATGATATTTAACCCACCGTCGGTCGGATATTTATTTACCTTCGAACGGTCGGAGTAGTCTGGCTGGACCACACATTTTTTCGTCCTGATATTTTCATTGATCGACAGCTAATGAAATTTTAGGAAAAGTCCTGAAATTTTAGGAAAAGTCCAGAAATTTCAAGTCGATAGAATTGCTAAAAGTTTTTTTGTTTAATTGAAGTCGAAAAAAGTCTGGCCAGACCACTCCGACCGACGGAGGGTTAAGCATAAAAATATGTAGAACGACAATAATTTAATCATCATATCATTTATATTTATTTGCAATTATTATTATAAACGCAAGTCTTTCAATTTGCGTTGCTAATTTATAAGGTCATTTTGGAAGCAGTTAAATCGCTCATAAATAAATAAATATAATTAAATGAGTAATTTGCTTGCGAATTTCAATAAACTGATGCGCATGTATTCGCGGATATGCTACGCTCAATAGCGTACCGTACGTAACAGATTTGCAATTACCTGGAGATACCGTTAGGCATTGTCATTTAACTCGCGAGTACTTGCTGATTGTATTGAACTTTATACTGTTCACACCAGAGACGTCTTAAAAGGATCTTCTTAAAAACTAGTGGTGCCTGGCGTCGTGCCAAGGTAAATTGCTGAAACTTTCCGTACCAAAAACTATTTTTTTTCTAAAACTTTTAAATTTTTTTTTGAAAACTTTGAAAAAAATGAGATTTTGAAAATTTTTAAATTAATTGACTTTTTTGAAATTTTTTTTATATTTCGATTTTTTTTTATACTTAGAATTCTTCTGAAAATTTTGAACTTTTTTTCAAAGCAATCGTGCTGCGTGGTTGTTTTAGAGAAGAAATATGTGTAAGTGCCGCATCCCAGTCTAACTAACTGATAAACATTGGTAAGGAACGCATAGAAATGTAAACAAAATTCATACTTATTATTAAAATCTTTATAAAATATTTGATAATTTGATGTACATATGTCCAATAAACATTTTTGACCGCCAAATGACATTTTTTTAACTTATTTTTGTTGAGAGTCCATGACCGCTGGACCTGCCTCCCTAAAATTTTAATCAGTTGTTCATCTTGTCAATACATGTAAAATGTTTTTTGAACTATTCAAATCGAACGCTCTCTTTTTAAAAAACTGAATTACCATTTTTGGCTCTTTTTGCCCCGTATCTTCGGAACGGCTGGGCCTGCCCTTGTCTAAAACTAATTAGCACGTCTTCTTATCAATACGAATCGAATGTTTTTGGAATTTAAATCGGTTGATCCGTGTTCCAGAATTAGTCGACGAAAATTTGTATACGAACACACACACACACGCACACACACACATACATCCATTTTTTCTAAGGTATGCCAAAATGTTCAGAAACCTCTAGAACGTAAAGATATACAAAAAATTTCATTTTCGATTTTATTGCGATTACTATAACTTACCCTACGAGATGTTTATAAAGGTTGTCATCGTTTTATTAATGATTTTATTTTGTCACCGCGGAATGTGCTATTATTTACATATTATTGACATTGATGTTAATAACTGTAAGATACCAACATATGCGCACGACGGCGTCTGTATAGCGGAATGATTCAGCATTTTTTCATTTTTCTGCAAATTATTATTTAAAATTTATTATTTTCGACGAGGACTGAATAGTAGACGCGGCTCTAATATACTCTACGAAAACCGTAGATACTTAAATATTTTTGAATGCAAACTTCATTTTCAAATAATTCAGAACATCAATATTATAAAAAAAATTTTTAGAGAATCTTTCTTTTTCCCAAATGTTATAAAATATTTCCGAAGGAGAGGAGTATGTTTTCGCCAAAAAATCGATTAGCTGAACCAAAATGTGGAAAAAGTATGTGTGTGTGAAGCTGATTTTTCGAGTTGGAGTTTAACTCAGCTTGCAGACCTGCCCAAGGGCAGTACTACCCATTAATATATTTTATAATATACCATTTACCAAAATATATATGGTACATAATCCATTCCTTCAAAAAGTATTTTAATATTCTGTAATCATCATTAATATTTTTATTTTATACAAAATTGTTTTCACAAAAAAATCTGATGATCGAAAATATCTAGTTCCAAAACGTCGTAATTAAACATCAACAAATAACTAATTATTTTTCATTTATTGGATTAATTGTTCGAAAAAAGAAACATATCAATTTATTGCATTAAGTTATTCATATTGAAAAAACTATAAACTATTTTATGAAAATCTAAAAGGCTTTTAAAATTTTAGACATATAGAGATACACACATTATAGAGATTATTATGTTATTGTTATTATTATGTTATCACCTAGTTGTGAATTAAAATTTTCGCCAAAATAATGTATTGCCAATCGGTATCAAGATGACCAGTGATGTCGACAACTTTAAAAGTAAAATAAAGAATTTTTTTTAAATTTTTTATATACATTATTTTCATATCTCAGACAGACAGAAGTGTCTGGTATGAGAGATTATGAAAATAGTTTTCATATTTTATATATACATTTCATTTGACTATTTCAATAATATAATATCTATTATAATTAAAATATTTTTATATAACTCTTATTATAAGGAAATTGAAGACAAAGAAGATTGAAGAGATATTTTAAGATATTTTAATTATAATAAATAGTATATTAATGTATAATAAAATAATGAAATGAAATGTATATATAAAATATGAAAACTGTTTTCATAATCTCTCATACCAGGCACCCCTATCTGACAGATATGAAAATAGTATATCAATAAAAAAAATAGAAACTCTGATACAAGTAATTACATTAAACAAATGGTAAAAATAAATAATAATGATGTGTTTTAAAGTGGTAAAAATAAATAGTAATGATGTGTTTTATTATTTAAACTATTAACTTCAAATGAGCGATTTTAGTAGTGTTGTCAAATAGAGAAAATTGTCCTAACTCGTTCACTCGAATAACAAATATTTAGTTGAGTAAATTTTCTACCAGATCATTATTATTTTAAACCGCGCGCCGTGACCGGCGACATACGATAAATAAGAGCAGTTCCGGCGCCAGTTGTCCACATTCCTGTCGCGAAATAATATTGTTTTTTCTGATGTTCGATGAAGGTGATAGTTGACAAATTCCAGTACTTATTAGCAAAAATGCGGTAATAGGTGCCTCTTAGTATTTCGTTGTTTTAATAAATTATAATATACAGAAATGTCAAAGATCAAATTTTCGATTGTATTATTCAATATCAATTATAGATTAAATAAACAGAATTTACAACTGAAGTGATTATTTTATTATTTTATAAATAACAAAAAATTAGCAACATAAAATAATAGCCGGATTCGATTGTGGTAAGTCACACATGCACACAATATATATATATATATATATATATATATATATATATATATTGTATGATTCTGAATTTGATGTTGACATGTGTATTAACAAAGTCTAATAATCGGACATAACATCAATAAAAACATGAATTTCTTTCAAAAATTTATTTTAAATCCATACGTTTCGGCTATAATCTTAACCTTCATTCAGTGGAAACTAAAAATAAAATTAAAACTAAAACAATTGAATTAGAGTGAAAAGAAAAAATAATTATTGCACAATATTTGTGAAAATATTGTGTAATTACAAGTTTAATGTTTATAATACATAGTGTAGTGTATTACCATATCTTGATACCATGGATTATTAAAATTTTCCAAATTACCACTATGCATCAAATTGTAAGTACTATTTACTATTTTTTTCACTCCAATTCAATTGTTTTTAGTTTTTAATTTTATTTTTAGTTTCCACTGAATGAAGGCTAGGATTATAGCCGAAACGTATGGATTTAAAATAAATTTTTGAAAGAAATGAATGTTTTTTATTGATGTTATGCCCGATTACTAAACTTTGTTAATACATATGTCAACATCAAATTCAGAATCATACATATATATATATATATATATATATATATATATAAATAATAAAATAAATCATAAATAATAATATATTTATTTATACGTTTCGACACAGTTGTGTGTCATTTTTTAAAAAAAAAATTCAGTATCTAAAAAAATTTTTACAAAGTTTAAAAAAAAATTAAAGTGAATTATAGATTAAAAAATAAAATGACAAATAAAAAATTTGATACATACCACACCAGGAAAAACAATAAAAAACTTGTTTTAATTAACATATAGATAATAACAAAATAAAGCTAACATTTTTTTGGTTTTTAATTTTAAACTGAATATTCGTTAATGTAAGTTTTGAGCAAAGAACCGAACACACTCGTGACAAAACACGAAAACACACGATGTTGTGGAGGTACTCTTTTCTTTTATCTATGTTTCAAAGATAGTTAAACAGTGGGGACAACTATTTAAGAAAATAAAAATATGAAATATAATAATAATAAGACAATATAATAAATGAGCCAAATTATACACACTAGATCATTTTAGAAAATAGCGAAATTTTATATTACACAATTTTAATTTATGTGTGCATGTCATCGGTAATCCGTGCTTATAATGGAAATAATACCACCACAAGAATGGAACAAAACTTTTGATAATATTTTTAATTTTTGTGTAGAATTAGACACACACATATTTATTAGATTAAAAACTAAAATTCTTTTTGATCGTGTGTGTATGTAATAATAATAGTAATCTTTTTAATTCTAAAACTTTTTCTTATATTGTAAATTTCTTTTAGCTGAATGATGAGACACATCTCAAAACGTATAAAAAAATTAAAAAAAACTTTTCTACATTCGACACATTGGCTGTTTTATTCAATTGAATTCAATGAAATATATTGAGAACTATTATGCAATCAATCATTTTTTTTGTTTAAATGAGTGAAATAATCTAATAAATTCAAAATTACACCGCACTTAGACGAACTTCACGCGCGTTCGATGGTTCGTTTCTCATTTTTTCTCTATTGTTGGTATAAGTTATAAATAAATGACAGTTCGGTGAAACTTATTTTTCCTAGAGTTAGTGCCATTTATATCAATTATTCTTTTTGTGAGAAAATCGTGTAAAAATGGATCAAATGGAAGTTGTAAGCGTTTCTACTTGTGCTAACGATATTAATACGCATGATGAAAGTGTTTTTGAGGTTTTGTCCTCTAATATTTACGAGGACATTTCATCAGGCACCTCAATAGATTTAACCCAAGAGTCGATCGAAAATCTCACTTCCCCCATCTCACCCGAAAGTCTCACATTTGCGAAACACGAAGAAAACGATGATGAAATTTGTACGCAAGAAGCCCAAAAATTAGAAGTGATCGGTCAGATTTACGAATTATTCATTGGGAACTTAACTTGGTGGACCACTGACGAAAATATAATAGACGCCATTGCTGAGTTAGGCGTCAAAGATTGCATCGCGGTGGCTTTTTTTGAAAACCGTCGCAATGGAATGTCTAAGGGTCATTGCGTAATATCATTAAGGACAGAGAGCTCTGCTCGAACAGTATTAGAAAAATTGCCATCCAAAGAACTTTACGGCCGTAAACCAATAGTTACCTGTCCGAGTAAACAAGCCCTGGCAATGCTAGAATCCCAGTGGCAGATGAGAGAACTTCATGAGAATATTACAAACAGAGAATCATTCCCGTTATTTCCATCTTATAGAATACCGCCACCTCCGTCAGCCGTATACTCAGCAAGACCTCAATTTTTCAATAGACCCGAATATACACCTATGATCAGACCTCATCTTTCATTTGAACACATAGCAAACACCCATCCATACTCTAGAAGAGGATTTGCAATGCATGCAGATGCTAGAGCATCTTTAATATTGAACCAACCCAGCATTCCTGGCACCGTTTCTCCAGGGCAGGTTTCACCAAATGATTATCGCATGGCAAGGGTTTCTGAGTCAGTAGAGCTTAGCAATGATGCACGTGTCCAAGCTCTGTACGATAATTTAATGTATAACAATCAGCAAATTAGCAGTACAGCCATTAGTAAGGCAGTTTCGGAATCGGCTTCAGGCGACTACACGAGCGCAATGGATACTTTGCAAACGGCTCTTACCCTTGTCCAGCAATCCCAAACTGTGGAAGATGAACGGTGCCAAACCATTATTCGTTCCTTGCAACGTGCGTTGTTCAATGTTCGGGCCGAGGGCGAGACATCGGAGCGACGTGCGTTAAGGAGAGAAAGGATTCACGAATCTCCGCAATGGCGTGGCCGTAGGATAGCACGAGAGGAGAGACGTCAGCGGCATTACTCACGCGATTTCGTTGAGGATCGTGTCAGAACCCGTGATGAAGAACTACGAGGAACGGAGGAGTTGCATAGAACCAGAAGTAGTTTTCATCAGAACTCTAGCAGAAGATACGACGAGGTACAAGAGAGAAGATATTGGAGAGAACGGACCATTAGAAGATACCATCGTTGATACCTAGTGGTTTTGAGCCTACTTTAATGACTTTTAATAATAATGTTCTTACAACTATTTAGATGATAGATAAAAATTCTTAAATTCATAAATTTATTTATAAATTTATAAAAATTAAAAAAATGAGATGTTCATTAACAAATCACGGCTGATATGTGAAACTTTTTTTTATTTTTTAGATTTTATTTTGAATTATTTATTACAGAATTTTATGTCAAGATTTATTTGGCCTATACTTGTTGGCGATTTAATAACTAATCCGCCCGTTTGATATCTACCCTTTTATACCTGTACTTACAATAAGGGTATTTTTACAAGAATTTTGAAGTTAATGTTTGATTTGATATACTAAATTTATTGCTATATTGTTAGATTTTATTTTAAATTATTTATTAAAGAATTTTATGTCAAGATTTATTTAACCTATACTTGTTGGCGATTTAATAACTAATCCGCCCGTTTGATATCTACCCTTTTTTTACCTGTACTTACAATACGGGTATTTTTACAAGAATTTTGAAGTTAATGTTTGATTTGATATACTAAATTTATTGCTAACTTACTTTGATATGGAATCTGGTATTCTTAACTTATTTATTGAACGAACATCTTATTTATTGCTTGTTGAATAATAGTCCTCAACAATATGTTATATATTTGATACAGTTTTGAATTTTTGTATTATACATATTATTACTAGTGCTATTATACATGTACTTGATTACTAGTGCTAGTTTTATTTATAACATTAAAGATTTGTATTTTGGCATTAATAAAACTAGTATACTATAATAAGATGCATATATGATCGTTTCATTGCAAAAATTTAAGTATTTGCATATGCACATCAAAATAAATATTTTACAGAGATTGTATAGTTTGGACTTAAGGGGGTATTCTAGTGTAGTAATTCAAAAAAACGTCTTTTTTATTTCATATTTTTAAAGTTTAACTATCTAAGAATATGGGTATGAGAAGGTTTTTAAAAATTTGAATTATTTTCGGAGATATAGGCATTTTACTGACTCGATCTCCATACTGGTTTGGCTTCACGCAAAACTTTAAATACGTTTTTCTCGAAACAGACTTTTTCAGCACTGTTGACACGATTTCACTAGTTTTAATCGACCGATTCACTTGAAATGTTTAGAGAGTCTTGTTTATAGACCTATCTATAGCCCGAACTAGGATTAACCCCAAATGCCAATTTTTACTATTTTTAAAAAATTCGAAAAACTCAAAAAAACAGTACAACAAATACTTTTTTTTCAAACAGTCGCCAATTTGTAAACAAATTTTTTTTTACTCATTCGCTAGTTCGGACGATTGCGACATCATTGTAGATTAATATTTTTTTATTTTTTGCATTTCCGATGGCTAGGAGGGCTGAAATCATGTCAAGACAGAGGTGCCAATTTTTTGAGACCACTTCATCAGCTGCCAGTATTCACAATTTTCAACTTTTTTATTTTTTTTATTTTTGTTTTGTATTTTAATAATATTAATAAACAAGTGGTAAAAAATGGATAGTAAAAACCAGTGCTGGATTTACAGTAGGGGCAATCGGCGCTACTGCCCAGGGCGGCAAATTTTGGGGGGCGGCAAAATTTGGATAGTGAGAAAAAAATTCTATACAATATAATCAACTTTTTTAACAACATTTTTTATTTCAAGAAATATAATTAACAAAACATAATACGATTGCAATGCAAAATTTGAGTTGAAGTAAACGTTAACTAAAATTTATTATTTTGCCTAGCCTCCCTCTACGAACGTAAATTATCAAATTGGTTATTAAGTTATCAAATTTGGCAATTTGGCTAACATAAAGATCCGTAAACAAGGTGAAAGTTTAAGAAAAATATGTTCTTCAGTTCTCGAGACCTCTTAAAATGACGTATTTGTGCACTTCCAAGCTTATAGCGTCGAAAAAAAAATTTAACTAGTGACTCATGGCATTTTGCCTTAAGACAAATTACTGAAACATTCTTTACTGAAAATTACATTTTATAAAGAGCTTTAAATTTTATTGAAAAATGAAAAAAATACTTCTAAAACACATTTTTTGTATTTTGAAATTTTTCGAAAATTACGAACTTTTTACTAAGAAAATCGCGCTACGTAGCTATTTCAGAGAAGAAATATCGAAACTCAATTACCATTTTTCGTAATTGCCTGTACCAAAAGCTAATCAGCACGTCTCCCCATCAATACATATCTAATATTTTTTAATTATTCAAGTCGATTTCGAGAACACGGATCAACCGATTTATGATTCAATTCCTATTGATAAGGAGACGTGCGATTAGTTATTGGTCAAGGCAGGTCCAACTGTTTTGAAGATACGGGCTAAAATGCCAAAAATGATAATTCAGTTTTTGAGAAAAAAGCGACCAATAACATTACAGAATAAATAACTGCTTAAATTTATGGGGGGCATGTTTAGCGGTTTCGATGGTTCAATAAAAAAACTTGAAAAAGAAACATTTGGCGGACAAAAGTGATCATAAGACATAGACACATTAAATTATCAGATATTTTAAAGATATTATAATAATAAGTATAAATTTTGTTTACATTATATAAGTTCTGTAACATTGTTTATCCGTTAGACTGTAACGCGGCGCTTACGCGCTTCTATATTTTATCCCTCGCAGCTAAAGCAGCGCGATTGCTTTAAAAAAAAGTTTGAAAGTTCGTAAAATTTCAGGGATGGGGCGGCATTTTTGTCAGTGCCCCGGGGCGCCAAATTTCTAAATCCGGCCCTGGTAAAAACATTTATTGCTTTCTTTTACGACACTTTAAAAATGACCTAAAATTCATCGCTCTACACTAGAATACCCCCTTAATAAAATTCACTCGGTTAGAATCACTTAATACACACTACTTCCTACGCACATACTTATGTGTGTGTAAAAAAGTTTTTTCTTGTATAGCGAAAGAAATGCGTTAATGCATCCCAGACTGGGTTTTTTGTCTGGGTATGTCAGACTCAATACCTCTTGGGTATAATATCGACTAAAACTTCCGCTTATCTCTTGGCTCTGGTCCCCACGGAAACCATCTTTAGGCATTACTTCAACGGGGGAGGATCTAGAATGCTATGATTCTCTCTCTGACATTATTCTCTTCTATCTCTTCTTCTAATTATTGCTATTCGCTCTTCTTCTTTCCGAAGATCGATAAATGTGTGAGAGATTGTGTATGTATGTATGTAATTATTCAAATTTATAAATTGTGTATGACGATTTATTAGTCCTTGAAGTAGACGCTTGTAATTGATCTTGAAAGTACTTGAAATTTATGATACTATGTTTACGAAAGAAAAGGCAAAATATTTCATTCATAATTCTCAATGACCAGCAATATGTATTTACTATGTGAGATAATCGCACGTTAAGCGGGCTACTACAAAACAAATATGATCGTAAATATTAAACATACATTATCCCATTAGTAAAGATGATTCCATAACAGTTTTGTAAATATAAAATTAAAATAAGCAAATAAATTGAGACGTACCTAATCTCTATAAATAGATTTATAAAAACACTATCGTGAATCATCAACGAAATAACTTGGTTTCTTGATTAATGATGTAAGTATTAATTAATAAAAAATTATTTACATTGCATTAAAATATATTATATATATATGTATATATATATATATATATATATATATATTAATATTATGTAATATATTATTAATAAATAGTGTTTACTATAAATTTATTACTTTATCTAGAATATTTAACTAGTAAATTAACTCAATATTTTCATAGTTATATTCTGATTCGTGTTTTATTTAATTTTTCGTCGTTAAATTGTCACACATATATATTGTGTAAAAGATTTTATTCCAGTATAACACTCCCAAAAAAGAGATATAAGGCTGTGCCACTTCTTACTACTGCCAATATTTAATTAAGTAAATTTTTACATTTGGAAGACTAAGTTTATGTTCACGTCAGAAAATCTACTATGCTAATTTTATGTTTTCTTGACGTTTTAAGTCATTCTGAATCGTTTGACACTAAAACTGTGTCATTAGTCCTTTTATCGATGTATTCCTAAAAACGGCTGTACTGATTTCAAAAATTAAAGAGCCATTTGATGAATATTGATAAGGACTTGCATTGAATAATTTTGCAATTGAAACGGGCGATCTGATTTTTTTTAGAATTAGCAAAAAAAATAAAAGTGCAAATTTTTTTTTCTATTTTTTCATCAATTTTGAAAATTCTTTAACTATTCGAAAGATAGCAGTTGGGAATTTTGCTGATTTGATGATTTTAATGAAGCATTGTACAAGAATAGAGTTCACGGTTTAAACGAACATTCTAAAATATTATAGTCCTACGATAAGAGATTGAATTATAAAAAAAATCAATGAAGTTTGGGGCCGCAGTTTTAAGGCATACGAGCCTGTTTTTTTGCACTACAATTCATACATTTATAGATATTGCAAGTTTGTTTGAAAATTATCAATTAGTTATCACACTTCGATTAATCTTGACCTAACAATAAGAAAAAAATCCACTTAATATGAATATAGGTTCTTTTCCACGTGAGTGTAACTTTTCAGAAGGTCAAGGTAAGTCAGCAAAATAATCCTTCATTTGTTTTCTTCCTAAAAGGGCTTCGGAAACAGGAAATCTCTTCGCGGAAGCGATTACTTGGACAACAGTTTTTAGTAAACATAAACGTTTCTTTATATCCACTGGTTACTTATGTGAATTAATAACCAATATAAAAAAAAAGTCTCGATTTCGTAACGTATTTATTAAATAACATTACAGTGTAAAAATACATGGTATGATTTCATACGTGCCAGCAATACCCGGAAACATAGGTAAATGACTGTTATATTACTAGTTAAAGTCAGCCTTATTAGATTAATTCTAATAACAAAAATCATCAAATATGGATGGATTAACCATTGGGTTACCATCTAAAATTACGAGTAAGGAAAAGTTTCAGCCCAACAGCTCATAAGAT